TTTTCCATACCCATCTCAAACGTCTCAAACAAAACCCTATCTTAATAAGGGTACTTACTGAGTCACTGAGACATGTTGAATGCATTTGTTAACCAAATATCGTTCAATATGAGATTGGTCATAYTAACAACTTACCTGAGTATTGTTAACTTTATAAAATGTAAGTTATCATGAAAATTATTAAATTTCATTGTTCCGAATAGTGTACGAAAACGAAAAAAACTTCAGTTATAAAATCATAAATTCATAACTATGCTTTTTTTAAATAACTAATTTATATTATTAGTTTCACAATATTTTTAAACTTGGATTTACGTATTAATTATCTTACGCTCTTATATAGACTTTAAGGTAGGTTTGCTATATATTTTAAATGAATTCATTTKTTCGGTATGTATATGCTTAAAAGAATAAAATGTAAGTACATAAACTGTATTTAACCGAGACTATAATATTCATGACACAATTTTAGTATTTTTTTCCCCGATCTCTCTCGTTGGCTTAACCGACATAATATTATTCTCATGTGGAAATAAAAGATAAATATACTTTAGCGGAGTCTCGTACATKATATTATGCAAAGGCAGTATACACGGGATTAGGTYGCAGGCTTACACGCTCACATATATAATATAAGTATATAAATATATTTATGAAAACAACTGTGTTTTGCATCATTTCGTGAAATGTCCCGTTTCGTATCCAAGCAACGGTTACCCTCACGGCCCTGCCTTTTTCGGGCAACTATGTTCATATTTTATTTGCACGCTTYCACAGTTTTGTGTACATACTATATTTTAAAAATCAGTTTGCCAACAAGATAAGTCAGTTTCTGAGAAAGTTTTTCTATAATTTATTCTAACTTAAATCGTGCAACGCAATGCTATGTATTGAATTATAGGTTTGTTCCTAGGTATATGCGTTTTGATTCAGTAGGTATTTTTGTGATTTATAGTTATAATTCATTAATTTCAATCAAGTATATAATGTACGTAGGTGTACACGCAATTGAATTTGTAAATACCTATATAACATAATATTAAAATAATTCAAAAATGTATATCATTATTAATTCAAATTTATACCATCCATTACAGTAACCCACTTGTAACCTACTGTATAACAGAGCGACATCCACTTACTTGATT